TCTCACAGCTCTGGCACTGCTCTAGCTTTCACACCCTTGCTCTCTCTCTCTCTCTTTCTTTCTGTGTCTCTGTGCAGAAAACACACGGATCGGCCGTGAAATGTTGTGGCAGTCAAAAAGATTTGTATGGCCGCAGGCATCGAGAAGAATTGTGAGCCCGGATGCCATGCTGACAAGGCAGAAAAAACTGCCTGCCGTACAACGTGGCAAGTGCCACCCAAGTAGATACCTCTACATACCTCTGCGGTGCTACTATGGGGATTCCATCCGGGATCCCCAACGATTTGGAAAAGCTTAGATTGAAAATGTTGGTCCAATGTCCTCCTCACTTTCACTGCTGTTCTCCCTGGACAAAGCCCGGGAAAGCCACGATGGGGCTTCCACCATGTAGGCAAGATCCATAGCCTGGGCTCGGTGGTGAACCTCTACGAAACACCGCAAACTCTGGACCCTAAACCCAGTCTGTATCTCCTAAGCTGACATGCATAACTTAACTTGCAAAGGCCCAGCAGCAGTCTTGCCCCGTGCGTTTCGCAGCTGGACCTCCGCTCCCACCTGCAAAGAGAATGTCGCAAATCCTTGTGTCATGGGCCGTCCCCACTACCCCCATTATACTACCCCGATAGGTTCGCCCTCAGTTCAGGTTATGTAGGGATGATGAAGACAAATTCAGGCGAGGAGGGCTGAGCATGCCCTGCAACACGCTTCATCTTCAAGTTAATGCGCACATTCATCAGCCTATGTGCTACTGGCTAGATGTCCGAGCCTCAACCTTCAAACTTAAACCTTCTGCCCAACAGCCACTGCGAGTCAAGCCGCAATGTTCATCAAATCGACAAAAAGCTACCCATGACGGACTTTGACACCGTGAGCTCTAGCCCAGTAGAAACTCGCATGTGGAAAGAAGAGGTCTGCATCCCTTGAACGTTACAAGCCTAGATGGGCCTGCAAAAACTGACCCCCCGAGTTTGAGACCTTCCAACAGAGCCCCTTCATCCTGATGTAATCCTTACTTGCACTTCAAGCCTAGTTCCCCAATTGTCCAAGTGACCTCTGGACTTCAAGATCAGCTGCCAAAAAAATCAAGACCAGCCTCAAGGAGAAGTTGTGAGACCCCGAAGGAACCGCCGAGAATGCTCAGCATGAGTGGCGTTGCCCGCTCATGGTGGTAAGCCAGCAAGGTCAGCGGTGACCTCAGAAGCTACGCATGTGGGCAAGGCACCGCTGTCATACGGGCTACTTTGAATCAGAACCACAAGAGCAAGTTCATCACAATAGCCTGGTGTAGGAAGCAGAAGTCGGGAGTTGGGTTTAAGAATTTTGGTCTTTGATGGAATGGCTTGGCTTTTCCAGGGCTTGAGGAGGAATTGGAGGCATGCTGGGCTTTGTGGAACGCCCTAGGAAACTGCTGACCAGTTCTCATCCACTGTAAATGCTTCCCCGGAGTCGTGTTACTGCTTCTCCGGTTGATGGAGCAGGGCGCCTAGAATCTGCCGAAATTATATTTGAATCGAGAGCTCAAGATTTCTGATATCGACGGTGACAGACGGAAGCGATGACTGATCACATTAGTAGCCTTAGCATGGCCCCAAATGATAAGCTTTCGGCTCTGAACGTCGCGTGGCGAATCCGTTCCTCACCCGAACTGAGCCTGCTTTTCGCCACCCCGACCCAGAAGAAAGCAGTCATCGCGCACGACTTCCCAGGTTTTGAGCCCTTACGCATTGATTGACTCATCAGTAAGGCTACAAGAAGGAAAAGGCTGTGAGTACTAATCTGTTGCAAGAGCGGTTACTTGAAAGGACGAGAATCCCGATTCCAACCCTCAACCTAAGACAAAAGAAACGATAGGAGCTATCCCCCGAAATAACCCCTATAGTAGTCCCCTATACAATCCCCTATGTTATGATATAACCCCCTTTAAGGAGTTGAGACTATGGCTTATATACCTTCACCTCGAAAAGACACAACTCTCCGTCCTGAGCAGCTCTGGCAGCCATTTTACCCCATGAACTGGGGCTGCTGTTAAGGAACTTAAATTAAGTTACCATAAGGGTACATATAATAATCAAAATGGTTGCCCTAATGTAGTAACTTAAATTAAGTTCCTTAACAACAATCCAGATAAATGCCCATAACATCCACTAAGGTTGAAACCATGGGCCCCGAGTATTGGGCCCTCAACCCTGGGATCCTTATACCTACCATATACCCTATATGTATCCTTAAAGGTCCTCAGAATTCTCTAAAAGGGCTAAAGGCCCATATTAGGGGCCCATATTTCCAACCTTAGATCCATGCATGTTCAATGCGCACTAATCTCTATCATCCTGTATTGGTGCTCCCGAGGGGCGGACCGCAAGGGTATATCCAAATATGGAGGATCCTTATATGAGGGACTTGCACCAGGGACCCTATTCCATTCTCGCAAATTTCACACGCCACCACCACAGAAACCTCAAGAACTGACTGGTAATAGGGCTACTTATACTGAGATCCCCTCATGACCCGCATATAACTTTACAATCCCAGCTCAAATGCATCCGAAAATTCTGCTCGAACTGGTCATGCCATGTATTCCAGAAAATGTAATCAACAGCCTAGACCTTGTAATTCTCGGCCACTGGCGGGCTGAGCCGATGCCGGAGGCTTTGAAGCCTCAGCTTCTTTCAGAGACCCTGACTTCAGGGAAATTATGAGTACACAGTCAAAATTCGACCCTGGGAAGTAGCATAATGTAGGACTTAGGGATCTTGGGGCCTTGGATTCTGACAGAGTCTGCGTGACTTTCAGGAGATTCTGGAGCAGGCCCTTTGCACCCAAGCCTCTTGTGGCTCAAAGTCATGCTCATGCCTTTGAGGTAACGTAAAAGACTCCCATAAATAAACATTTGCAGCAAGCATGTGTGGGAAAATTGTTTTCAAGTTGGAATCCCGAAAAGCCCCCCCAAGTAGAGTAGCTTCCGAAATGCCAGTCCCATTTCTACTCGCATAAATGCCATGTGCTAGTAGGCTAGAAAATAATCACGCAACCTAGACAGCCCAATAATACTGTTGAGAAGACACCTACATGAAGCAAAGAAGCTTGAAGAGCATCCGCCATACGGGCGGCTTCAGCTCCAACTGTTGGTTCACATCGGCGCCCGCCTGGGCATTGCTAGGGGGCTTTCATGCAGCGTGCGAAGGTATTCTGGGAACCCAGGGCTCATGCATGATGTGTGTGGTCCAAACAAAGATGTCGCTTGGATTATCTTGGATGTAGAACCTGATTTTCGGGGCCTGCTTGTTTGTCAGGTCCATATGGCCATATGGTGGTGGTGATGATGACTATGAGATAACGATGGCCATGATCATGGTGAGGATTTTGATCATGAAGATGAGGACGGATCATTAGTGCTCTTCCTCGACAAAAGTGCGTGTTCCCAAAGCCCCAAACCCTCAACCCTAAAACCCTAAAACTCTAAACCCTATATAATCCCCTATATAGTAACAAAACTAAGAATCCTTGCCAAGGGGCGTGGAGAAGAGTGGAGATGGCCTCGACCGAGCCACCTTCCAAAATCAAGGCGTAGTGCAGCACGAAGTCCATATCCTGAGCTGCTGCTACAGGGCTCTATAGGGCTATAGGGCTTAGGGTCTATAGGTTTTTAGGGTTTAAGGTCTATGAAGTGGGAGCTTCTTACAATTAGGTACCCTGAAAAACCCTAGGGATGTCTGGAGATTACAAGGGAAATCTGGTTCAGAACCTCCCAGGTCCATCACAAACATCGGGATTTCTCATGCCTGTTCCTCTCCTTGGTTGGCCTTTGGAGCCCTTTGAACAAATTGAGTATTTAGGGTCCTTATGAAACCAATAAGGGAAAATACTTAAGTATCCCAAAGGCCAACCCAGTCTCAGTAACAGCTCAACAACAGCCCAGTCTCTGGCACTCGGAGTAGAAGCTCCCGCATGGCCAAAGGGCCCCCAGAAGCGCAGGCCAAACCAAACGGGGTAAGGCCCAGAGCGGTGATTTTCCTTGGCTGCGGTGTTGTGCGGGGTTAAGTTTAGCGGGTCAGGGTGCCTTACTCCTGGGCTCTTTATACAACTGAGCAGCATGTTGGGCTGAGAATCAAGGTTCTTAGCCTATGCTGACAGACAGCCCAGCTTCAGATGGTCTGAGCCGGCAGAGCCCAGAAGCTGGATGGCCTCTACAAATGCTAGATAGGAAGTTTCGGAAGTGCTAGATGGAGAATTTGTCAAGCTCAGCCGGCTTTTGCAAGAACTCCATGACTATTACAGGGTAGTATTCGGGATTCATATGTGTTATGATTGTTTGGGGAGGGGGTGATTTGGGGCACTATGGCTTTTTGTACTACTTGACCGCTCTATGATGCGCTCCAACCTCCACGTTCTCACTCGCAGCTGCCCAGTGCAGTGCTGTGAGGCCGTGGCAGTCGCTGATTGTCACATCAGCCCTTGAAGACAACAGCACCTACCAGGGGTTAGTCTGGGATTTAGGGCTGTTAGGGTTTACGGCTAGGGCCTTTATCAGCTTTCACTTCACCCAAGACCTGGAGAACTTCAAGGCTTCCGAAATGCGCTGCCAATGACAAGACGCTCATGTTCTTTGCAAAGAGAAGCTCGGGTTTGTCCTTCTGTCGGAACAAAAAACTAGCCTAGTGTAGAAGAGCAGCTACAGAAATTCTGTAACTTCACTTTTTTTGCATCTGGGATCGCGCGCAACCAGAGGCTTCCTTGAACCCCAAGCCCTGGTGTCAGGCACTGTGATGCCATAAGATACGTAGCATGATCGTATTTGCTTGGCTTAGGCTTGTCCTTCTTGATCTTGTCATTGCAGTCCGCTCTCTGCTCCAAAAGGCACCTGGGGATGGATTTACAGTGTGGACCGCTTGTGGAGTCGCATGGATGGCCCCGTTTACGGGGTACACACTCAAGATTTGGTGGTGGAAAGCCTAGCTCAAGTGATTATTGGAGTGTACATGTGCTACCCTCACGTAAACTCATAGCAGCCTCACTAGCTTGGCATCTCCCGTCATCGCTGCATAGCAAAGTGGTGTCCACCCAGCTCTGTCCCGGTCAGCCATGCTCTCAAACCTGCCAGCTGCCAGTCTTAGTAAGGGGATTTTGGTTACCCAA